GGCGGGAGCGGCCGCGGCCTGAGGTGAGCGCCGGGAGGGGGCCGCGTTCCCCGCGGCGGCGGCGCCGCCTTCGCCCCCACAGCGCTCCAGGGGCTCCCCTGTGCAGGGCACGGCCTCAGCCCTGCCTCCCGCCGCCGCTTGCGGGGAGGTTTGCGGGGCCGGTGTGTGGGGACGGGAGAAGTGCACCTGGGGCAAGAACCCCGGGACGCCGCGGTCGGGCCGTTTCGCGCACACCTTGATTTGTTTCTAAAGCAAGGCAAGGATTAATTTGAGATGTGGACGAGGCCGCGGTGCTGGGGTAGCCGGAGATGCGAGGAGAGGATGGAGCAGGAAGTGCTGTCTCCACTAGGCATTCCTCGAATGCTTTTAAAATTGCAGCACCCACCGTGGGATTGCGGCTGCCGGGAGCCGGGGATGCGGCGGGAGGATGCACAGAGCGACGTGTACCTGCTTTGGCAACAGGCCGGAGCCGTGCTTTACTTTTTTTTGGTCTTTAATTGTTCACGTGTAGGTCAGAGACGTCATGGTATCGTGAGACTTAAGCATGACTCTAGAAATTATTTAAATACAAACTTACCAGTTTGCTGTGCGTTGGCAGTACGTACACTATTATACTTGAGCTCTGTGGGTGCGAGGCAGAGCTGCCTATTTCCTGATGAATGATCGTGGCTTATGTGTTTATCCTTTTAATTTAAAAAAACCCTGTTTTTCACAATTATAGGTCAGTTTAACAGTGCTTTTTGACTCAGTAACTCGGCAAAAATACTGTCAAAAGCTGCTTGCAGAGAAACAACATCATCCCTAAAACTGGTCTTCTACAAGAACAGTATCATTGCCTCCTTTGTGCGTTCCAAGTGACTGTATTCATTGGAAAAAGAGTACAAAATGAAGTTGTTTAGAGTCATATGTTAGCGTTGAAATGGAACTTCAAATAAAATATTTAGAATTAGAGCTTTAGGTTTATGCGTTGCTTTTTCTTGACCTTTTAAGAATAGTGCTTATACAGGTTGTTGAACTGTTGTTTGTCCTTGTTCTTTTCACTGTGCATATGTGTGCTGTTGAGTCACAGACGTGTTCCAAATTTTGATGCATTCCCAGCAGTAATCGCTGTAAATTTCCTTGGTTCAAATACAATACCAGAAATCTGTAGAATTTAGGAGCTCTGAACATCAGTTCCAAGCCAGACCAGTGGCTCACATGTAGCGTGGTCTGTTTGCAAAAGTCACAGCTGGGTTCTTGCATTTTTTTGTGAATTCCATGCTTGGTGGAAGTGATACAGTCATTTTCCTGAATAAAGCAGAATTGTTAGTGTGCAAAAGAACATTCCTTCAATTGATAATATCTATTTCTAATGAGGAAAAATGAAATCACCTGGGCTTTTTGATCTAGAGGGAGTGAGGGGAGGGGGTGGAAGTGATGACATGCCAGGAACAAAGCATTTCACACAGAACAGGCTGTGCTAGACACACTTGTTTGAGCTCAGTGAGTCACAGAATCATGCATTTTTTGCTTTTATTATTGATGTGACTCAGTATTAGACATTTCTTCCTTGGGTTTTGTAGTTCTTTTAGTAAGAAATTACAAGTACTGCTGTTTTACTGACATATCTTGATGTTTCTGTCTACTTTAAGTCTGAAAAGTGATTTCAGAATGCTGATGTTGTTGAGACCATTCCCAGCACTGGGAAACCTGTTTAAATCTGTCTGTGGGTATTAAATACTGTCAAAAAAGTATCTGAGTTATATAGTCTCCGATGGAAAGAAAGAAGCCTCATTTGAGATATCAGAAGGGCTGTTCTGCTTTTTGAGATGGTTGTGAGGTCACTCTGAAGTGATTATTTGAAAATGTTGTTTGATGTCCTTATATGGACACACTCTTTGTACATGTTTGGTAGTGCTTTCTTTGTGCTGGTTCCTATTAAGAAGCTCCCAGTCTGCCTGTTCCTCACAGTTTATTTCTTGCATCCTGACAGGAACAAAGGAAATGACCCATTTTCCTTCCCCTCTCTTTCTCTCTTACCAGAATACTGCTCTTAGCAGAGGATGGAGTGATGGCACGTTCCAGCTGCAGCTGAACTTGGTGGCACTTTGCTCCTTTACATTGCCAACATCATATTGTTCAGGATAGGAATTTGTTTGAATCCAAAATGAAACTTTATTGTGTTATCCACTGTTCAAAACCAGACTTGGACATTCCTGTGCTGTAGTGTGTTGTCCCTTTTTTTTCTGCTCAGCCTGCTAAGTAAGGCACAGCATTATTTACAGATAAATTTTCACTGCTTTTTGCAAGTTGTTGCAAATGTATCTTATCTATGCCTTTCTCCTTGAACTGTTTTGTATGTGCTGTTTTCCTTATCTCATACTGATTGAAAGAGTACTTTGAAAATCTAAAGAAAACAGAACAGATACAGCTCTTGCTCTGATTTGCCTTAGTTGTGGGGTTTTTATTACATTTTCTTCTGGACAGTTGATGAGAATTTAGATGTTAAAATTTCCAGGTGTGGGAGCTACCCAGAGTGTTGTCAGAGACTTCACATTGTTTTGATGTTTGAGTCAGCTGTGTGCAGACAGAGCTGTGGGTTTCTGTGGTCACTGATGCGCAACGGGGACTGGTCCAGCGCCAAGCTCTCACTTGTGAGTGGTGCTGAGAGTGCTGTGGTTGTGTGGTGCTGTAGGAAGATTTAACATTTTGTTAATTCTGAAATTTTGATTTGTACTGTGTGGTAGAGCTTTGGGAAGGCAGCACATGGTCATCCGGGGAAGTTGTTTGGTGGAATGATTTTCGAGAAAACCTCATGAGGGCAGTATTAGGAATTGCAAAATGTCAAGGCTGAGCAACTGAGCTCCCAAATGAACCCTGGCACCTTAAGTGTTATAGAACAGCAGGTGTTTCTGTGGGGTTTTTTGTTGTTGTTGAGGTAACTTGTAGCTAGCACATTTCTGTTCTAACAAAAGACATTGGGAAATTACTAACTGGAAGTGTGAGCTGCAGTCATGGTGTGATCAGAGCAGCTGGGCTGCTGTTGGCTACAGCAACTTTTCGGTCAGAGTAAGACACAAGGTGATGTGGTTTGCCTTGTAGGAGACAGGTTTTGTAAGCTGTATTTGTGGAACAGATTATTTTATGTAAAACATTCTTTATGAGATGACAGTCATAATCAATTGACAACAGTTTTGACTCTTCTGCTTTTTAATCAAGTAACTTGAGTATTGCTACAATGGCTGTGACTATACTGTCATTTCAAAGTAGAAGTAGAGAATTTGCCATACATATTGAGACCTGAATCATTCCCCCATCTCTCCTTTATCTGTGGGCAGTGGGCCTGGGTGACTTCTTTGGCATTACTGTGAGAAGTGGGTCAGGTATATCTACCTTGGCACTCAGTAACTATGAGCTTTTCTAAACTTCTTGAACTATGTAACTAATTTTATTGATAAGGTGACAGCAGAGGTTTCCAAACTTAGAAAAAAGATGTCAACAGAGCAATGAGTTACTTCTGTCAGTGGGATTGTCAGTATCTTTAAGGATCTGTGACAATGGTTGGCTGGAGGCTGGAATGAGCCTTTAGCATACTGGTCAAAGGAAAATAAGCTCTGGTTTTCAAAAACTTTCTTAAGGGATGTTTTGAGGAATACACAATTAGAGGATGACAGAAGATGATTAGAATCAGGACCTCCCTATTTTCCAGGCAGTGGATGCATTGGGCTTTCATCAGTAAGCAAATAAGCTGGGTATGGGGGAAAAGTAGTTGGAGGAGTCAAAAAACAACTTTCCTTGCTTATAGGGTAGTGGGTACCTGCACAGCTGCCAGGATTTTAGATGCCTGCTGCAAGGTAATGGAAATACCATGGGAGCTGAAGATCTGTGCCAAGTGGCAATTATGATAATTTCTATGTTTCCTTCAGTCCAGAGCTTGGTGTATCTCAGCCAGGATTTGACTGTCAAACTGCCAGTGTCAGAAACTGCATTGTATCCTGCTAAAATGATTCCTGCTACCCAACAGGAAAGTCTGAACACACAGGTGCCTGCATAGGTCACTTCCCTGCTTTCCCAGGCCAAGAGCTGCATTGTCAACAAAGCAGGCTGTGAAGTGCTCCTGCCGCTTCTGCGTTTCCTGTCCCTACTCTGGGGCTCTGCTCTAAATGAAAGGGCCTTGCTATTGCCCTGATAACTAATCTATAGCACAGCTAACATCCTTGAGTAAAGAGATAAGGGCTTGCCAAAGTCCAGCTGTTCTGGGTGTCTGAAACTAAAGAACAAATCTCTTTTGATAGTCCTTCACACTGGCATGATTTTTTGTGTCCAGCATGGGTTAGCCAAGTGTAGTGTCCTATTCAGCAGCAGCACTTTGAAGTCACTGAAAATAATGTTATGTTCTGACCCTTACCTGGGAATCATGTAGGTGTCCTGTTCTCATGAGAATTTTTGGATGTGGTAGTAATTCCCAAATGTAATGTTTGGACAACCTTTGCATTACATTTGCCTATCTGTGAACTATCCTTCTGTAAAGACAGGATGGGTGAAAGTTTGTTATGATACTAAATTTTAATATTTTGCATTTTAAAGGAATATTTCTGTTTTGAAATTTGTAAGTATTTAAATTAAGTACTCCTGTGATTTATTTCAGAAGGAAGACATTATGAATATGGCTTGTTTGTTCTAGTAGTCCTTAAGTATGTGACATTCTGGTAGAATAAAATGTGATTGTTCCATGCAATTCATCAGTTCAAAATTAATGTAATCTTCAAGTCAGCTAACGTGCACTATGGCTTTTTTTCTTCCAGTGTCTGAAACTTGAAGTGAAGAAACATGTCTCAGTCAGGTGAAAAAGTAAAGGTAAAGAGATGGTTGCATAGCCAAAATTTTGTCTAGAATCTGTTCAACTTCTGAAAATATTTGTAATTTTACTGAAGTGATAAAATTGTGAATGAACCTATTGCTTCAGATGTGTTTCTTAAAAGGAACTGCTTAGTAGAAACAGAGGTTGTATGTGATCCTAGTGATAGACTTTCTGGTATTCACCAGACATTCAGTCTCTGCTTACAAAGTTAAAATGGTATCTTTACCTGAGGAAATTGTGTATGACAAACATTCATTTCTAATGTTTTTGCCCACCTGGATGGGCTTTAAAAGGATTCTTAGCAAACACATAATTACCTTTTGATTTCCCTTGCATCCCTCTACACCTGGAAGTGTATGTCACTGTAAAAAAGCTGTTTTCATCATAAACTCATCAGTGAAGAAGACATTTGGTTCCAGGTAGCCATAGGTCCCTATATCAGGTGGCTGCAGTTCTTATTCAGGCTCCTGCTAGGTTTTCAGTCAATGGGTAACAGATGGTGGATCAGACTGCCCTGTTTATAGCCCAGATCTCTTTGATAAGTTTTTCAGGCATGTTTCTTTTCCTGCTTTTGTGTTAGAAGTTAAAGATTGTGAAGATAGGTGAACAACTTAACAAGAAAAAGATACATCTCTGTGTGATTTTATCTGAGTAATCCCCCCTTTAGTACAATGTTCTTGTTTTTTACCTGTGAGCATATGCATTATTTTTACAGAGGATGGTAGCAGCAGACACCAAATTTGAACAGAATTTTTTATTTTGAGCTGTATTAATTCTTAAGATTCATAAGAGTGTGTTTTTGCAAGCTTGCAGACTTTTATTCAAGGGGAGATTTTTTTTGTGTAGCTCAAGGCACCTATCTTGACTTCTATTTATATCAGCCCACTTGGTAAATGAGCCTTTTCAAGGTTGCTATTGCAGTAAAAATTGTTCCATTCTCTATTCTTCCTTGTGCTTTATATACCCCTGCATTTTATTGTGTAGAATCAAGTAAACTCTTTTCCAGTTTTTTAGGGGAAAAGGGATCTCATTTTCATTCAACCTTTGTTTTCTTGTCAGTTTTCTGACTCGGCAGGCTATGTGGGATTTGCTAATCTGCCCAACCAGGTTCACAGGAAATCTGTGAAGAAGGGATTTGAATTCACACTCATGGTGGTTGGTAAGTGAGTTCCTTAAGTGTTCTTGACTGTTACACAACATTTCTTTCACATAGATGTATGCATCTTCCTACTTAGCAATTGACTGTTACACAGTAGAAAAAACTTTGAACCTCTATACACTTTCTAATTACATCTGTTACTATTTTGTCATGTTTAGTAGGAGGGAGTATTTATAGTGATTAAAGATGATGAGTGGAAGAAAGGACACTTCTGCATTCCTGATTCTGCATTCCTCATTGATTCAGATGACAGGGGTAGTTGTTTAGTCTTTCTTTTGATCTTGTTTCCCCATTGAAGGCATGAATGCACACGAGTATCTTGCTGTTGAAATGGTGATGCTGTTGTTGTGTTTTGTGCTCTTCTGTACTGACTCACTCTGGTGTCAGAGATAAACCTGTAATTTGCCTTTTCTGTCAATGGGCACCTCTGAGACTCTGATGGAGAGTCCTTTAAGCACAAAGCTCTCCCAAGTGATGTGTTGAATTGTGTATGTGCAAAGGGAGTCCACAGTACTATCACCCTTTTGTAGCACTCAGTGAAAAATGAAAATGTACTCTGTATTACCATTTGGGATTATTTGGTGACAGTATTCAGCAGTGTTTGTGAGATATATAGGTAATTTGTGATAATTGTAGAGTTCTTTTGTGATGAGAAATACAGATAACTTTTTCATCTCTAAGATCAGGTTAGTAGCATCTAAAATAATATGGCCAGTTGGTCTAAATGTTGACTCCTTTGATTCCTTGAGTTAGGAAATAAGTGATTTTTTGAAACTCAGATTTAGTAGTTAAATGTACATGTTTAATCATTTGAAGTTACAGAATTATGAAACTTCTCAGGTAAATTTTGAATAATTTGTTTTTTCATTTTCAGTTTCATAGAACCTATATGGGCTTAACTGTAAGGGTGCAAACTTGACTATTAGTTTAGGATTGCTTTACTCATTTGTCTTCCCAGCAGTATTCCAGATTCAATTTCTAGCTTAGGAAAACCTTCAAGCTCTCAGAATTTTTCAGCAGGAGAGTTACAGCTCCTGATTTTGTAAGTTTAAATGAAAAACCCTGTAATTTCCCTTAAGTAACTGAACTATCTCTAGATCTATAATCCAAATTCTGTGTGACCTTTCAGCTTTTATTGTGACATCTGTTAGAGCAAACTTACAATTTTCACGTAACATTTATGAAAACACTGGAGGCTATTTTCCGGTGTTTTCAAAGTGCTTAGCTGAACCTTTGATGTTTCTATATCAAAAGCTAGGGTGGATCCTGATGAACAAATTATTTTTCCTCCATAATGTGGGCTTGGAGGAAGACAAGGTGCTTTAAAAATCTTTGAGTAAAAAGTGTATATGCTTAATAACCTGAATTATTTTGTTTGTAGGTGAGTCTGGCTTAGGAAAATCCACTTTAATTAACAGTCTGTTCCTGACTGATCTTTATCCAGAACGTTATATTCCTGGAGCTGCAGGTAAATGTGGTTTTGCAGTTCCTCCAGCACATTCCACCCTATAAAATTTCATGGTCTTTCAATTAATATTGCTTTATTCTTCACACATTACGCCGCTTTGTCATGCTGTATTTAAATTTTCTAAATTATGTTTTGTTGAGCTGTCATTTTCTTATTTAGATTTTCTTTCAAAGATAACTTTTGTTTCTTTATCAGCTGCTATTAAAAAAAACACCTCCCAAACCTTTTAGGTATCAATATACCTAAATGTGGTTTTGCTCTAATCGCCATTTCTTCTAACTGCTTTTTGTCTGTAGTGCCTTAAATCCTGGTTGGAGGTGTAAATAACCTTTTGACAAAGACTCTATTGTGCTTTTGAGTATTATGATTTTATTTTTGCATATTGTCATAAGTAAACCCATGTTTTAGTTCATTGTTCCTTGTTTACTTACAAAAACGTGGTGTTAAAATCTGCTTACTACTTTGTGTATTTTGATAAAATAGTTTATGTCATGCAGGTTACAACACACTTGAGCTTGCAGTTTCTCCTCTATTGCTCTCTCCTGTGGGGTCTCTGCAGGAACTGATAGGCAAATAACAATCCAAATATTCCTTTATTTTAGAGAAAATAGAGAGAACAGTTCAAATCGAAGCTTCTACAGTAGAGATAGAGGAGCGAGGGGTGAAGCTGCGTTTAACTGTAGTTGACACACCAGGATATGGAGATGCCATTAACAGCCAGGACTGGTATGTGTGTAAATACTGCTTTGTTAATAAAGTGTGTGTCTCACACAAACACTATTCTAGTGTGTCTGGTACTTTCTTCAACTTCCAGTTTCAATTTTCTAAACACTTTTGATGTTTTTAGAAGTTTTGTAGGCTGTGTCTATGGTTCTGCTGCAAAATTATCAGCCTCTCCTTCAAAAAGTTTCTCTGAGTACTGCAGTCAGCTTTTTGTCTCTGTGGTGATTCCAATCAGACAAAATTCTGGTGAGGGGAAACTTTTTTGTCTTTCTGTGTCTCTGGTCCATCCAGTTTCCATGTTTTTGAGACAATTAATTTCATTCCCTGTCCTCTGTATGCATTACCAGCAATTTGGGTGGAACTGGTGTTATTTTATGAAGTTACCACTTGGCTCTCTCTGGTCTAAATATTACCAATGATCTTTAATGGATGAAATAATTGTCAGCAGATACACTGGAAAATATATGTAATTGCTTTGGCATAATGATTACAAAGAAGCAAATTTATAAAGCAGCTAGAAAGGAAGGGGGCAATTTGTAACAAAGTTAGAATTGCTAAGTTCATAAATGTAATTTCCGAATGATCCCGTTCAGGCAATTATCTTTAACTGTGGAAAGCTGATGAATTTTTTCAAATGAAGATGAGATACCCTTACTGGGATGCTTCTAGTTTCAGTGGATTAAAACTTTGAATTTTCACATGGTTGTCTTTTAAGAAGTACTAACAATATTTATTTTACTTAGTTGTTAATTTTGTTGACACTTTATTTGTGGTGGTGGTGGTAATCCCAAGGCAAACAAAGAGCACTGTGCAGCGAAATGGAGCATAAAGCTAATGCAGGTTGACTTGAGTCCTTCACTATAAGTTAAAGACCAGGAAAGAGAAAGTAGCAGATAAAATAAACATATATAATGCTAATAGAATGTTTTGCAATCTTTCATTGACAGATTGATGTATCTGCAGTGTTCTTATTATCAGACAGTTTTTCTCTTCTTTCTATGGTGTAGATGTAGGAGCACACAGCAAGAATGAAGGCAGTGAAGTTCTGTAATACACTAAATGAAAGTCTGAAAGTGAAGCTCTAGTGAGATTTTTATTTTCCTTCCACTTTTCCTACTTTAGTAAGCTGAAAAAGGTTGAACTCTTGGAACAACACAAAGACATCTTTTTAGGCTGCATCATGGTCTTGCTTATTTTGTGCACTGTTGACTAGAGCTTCCTTCCGCTGGAGCTGAGAGCTCTGCAGCCTGTGCATTGTGTTATAGAGAGCTCTTCCTGTTGATTGTGTTCTAATGCCCTTTGTTTATTCTGCTCAGATGTTTCTTAGAGACCTACGTGTTTGGATTTTCCCCTTTCTTTTTGGAGGTTTTCTGAATAGAATCATTCTGCGGTGATTCAGACCTGAGTAGAACAATTTATATGTAATTTTCTGTGATGAATCTGGAACATCAAATATGCTACCAGAGCAAATAGCACTTACATCCTACAAAATAAAAAGATGCAGTTAATGATATCTCTTCAGTCTGCTTATGTCACTTGAAAAGCCTTTCAGCTGTGGCAAGTGTCATTTTGACAAAGTATGTTAATCTTTACAGGATGTCTCAGGGACTTGGATGGACAGACCCTTTGTTTTGAACTGTAGTGAAGACTAACCCATTGCAACCACCTTCCTTCCTTGGTAGTTCAGAGGAAGGAGCAAGTTCATGTTCTTGAACTTATGTTTATGTTCAGGAGCATTTGCTGCAGTCGTGGTTCACTGGTAGATAGTGCTGATCATAATTCAAAGTTTATAAAGTTCTTTTTTTTTAGGAAGGCTGTAATTTGTGCAGACTATTTTGAGGTGACAAATTTTACTAAGGCTAATTTTGAACACAGGTAAATCAAACTGTCACAATGTCTCTAGGAGGTAGCAATCACTGGGAGTGTTTCAAATATTGTTCTCCTGAGTAGGTTCCTAGTGGCTTTTAGTCACTGTGCATTGATGAAAGGGCTAAATTTTAGAGTTTGACTTTCATGGATGGGAGCTGAGGTAGATTTTTATGTATTTTGTGTCAAAGAAAAAGGACTGATAAGGATTTCGTGCTACTAGGAGTGTGCCCAGGAGGTCCACTGGGTTTGAAAAACAATGGTGTTGGACTGGGAAATGATTTGTTATAGATTTAGTACAACACATTTTCTGAAGCAGAGTAATTCTTGTTTTCTGGATGCTGCTGTACTTAAAACAATATGAAAAGAAAGGTGGAAGTGAACCACGGTTAACTGTGGTGATTTTTTTTAAGATTCTGTGCGAAGCTTTTGTGCTGGCTGAAGTTATGTACTTTAGAATCAGACCCACACCTAGGATTGCTCATGGCATCAGTTTAGGAGTGTGTCTGGAGAACAGCAAAATTCCTTATGGTGGGAGGTTTGACGCATTCAGCATCTTTCAATGCGTAAGTACATTGGGATCATGAGAGAAGCATGTCATTAAAATAACATCTTTCATGAGGAGAGAGGGGATCTAATCAGGAGAGGAAAAAAAATGCTTGATGCTTAGATTTGCTTTGATATCTGTCCTCAAAAAAGTGGTTGACAAAACCAGACTACAGGTGAACTTGTTAGGTATTGCTGATTACACTCTTTATTTCATCTTGCTTGTGGTGTCACGGGTCATTCTTTGATAGCTGCTCTCTGCTCTTTGGCTGCTACTAAATTCTTCTTGTTTAGTTTTTTTTAACTGACTAAGGTTATATTTTGTGGGTTTTGGCAGCTTGGTAATATTGTTCATTTTCTCCCAGTGGGCTTAAATGCAGTGTTTGCGTTGTTTGCTGTTACAATACAGGATGTGCTATCTCCTAAGTAATGACAGCACTGTGGTATAAGCCAGGTGTTTCCCGGAAGTCAGGAGGTACAGGACACCAACACCATATTTATATGGAAAAATTGTAGCTGTTAGACCTAGAAAACTGCACGTAAACTAATCACATTGCCAGAGAAATGTGTGATAGTTCTTTCCTATTGTTAGTGTTTGGTTTCTGTCCTAAGATTTGTATGTCTTTAGTCTTGTGGCCTTTTACCAGCTAAGAGAAGTAGTGAAGATTAACAGGAACAAAAACCATACTGATGTGTCTCAGCATGTTTAGGTATTAAGTTGCTGTTTCCTAATGAGTAGCACTAAGGTCAAAACCCAATAAATTCCATCTTTTGCTTTGTTGTCTTCTGTAATATGACTAAGAACAGCCAAATCTTGCAGTGATGTAAACATGTGTATATATATTCTACTGTGGATTTATTCCTTCTCAATCTAAAAGCCAAAAGAGAATCAAATTCCCTCCAGGATCTCTTCCATCATTCTTGTTACTTTCTTTTGTTATCTCCTTTGCAGCTATGCAGCCCTGGGTCAAACATTGCTGCCTATTGCAGTGTTTGCCAGCATTCTGTGTTCATTTTCCAGATTATTAATTTGTTTGTCTGTTATCTGCTCTGTTTCCTCCATAAATGTCTCTCACCAAGTTTGTGCTATCTCAGCAACAGAAGTATGGACGTTCCTGTTTCTCAAGTTAAGCTTTCTGTTTAGTTTTTTCTCAAGTAGTTTAAGACATGTTCATGATAGACAATCATCTGCCTAACCTTATCTACGTCAGCTGTTCATTTCCCTTCCCTGCAGTACCTAATATAAAGTGTTCTTTTAATATTAATGGTGTTTGCAGATGTCTGCACTCTCTGGAATAGCTTAAAATGATCTTCTTAGTTATGCATTGTGTTTTCTTTCCTCTCTAGTCACTGCTCTCTGTGTCTGATTAATCTATGTGATCAGATTTTGTGCTCATTTACTTCTTTGTAGGAAATGTTTTAAGTTGCCTTGAACTAAGGAATTATTTTTCTTTGCCGACAGAAAAGAATTCTGTAAGGTAACAAAAATAGCTTAATAAATCATGTGATGCTTGAGTGCATGACTTGCAAATGTATTTGTACTTAATTCAAACAGGCTAGAATACCAGAATTTTCATAGGTAACTATAGAAACCTGGCTCTAGGGTCAGGGTTGTAAATCAAGAGGATATCCGGGATATGTCATTTGTCAACTGGTTTAAAAACAAATCTTCAGCCCCTACCCCCAGAAAAAAAGGCAGAAAATCCTCAGTCTTCTGCTCCTGTGTTGTCTCAGCACAGAGTGGATTTTTCTGAGCTTGCTCTTGAACTTTTTATCCAGTGAACAGAGTAACACTTGAAACTGGCTCCAGGCATAAGTTGACACTTGGTGGTTGTTATGATAACACCCTTTTGCATTATCAAAATATTTTTCCTCAGTACTAGATAAAATGCTAGGAAGTTGAATTTTTTGTAACAGTAGTGTTTTTAATAAAAGTGTGTTTCTCCTTCTGTTCTTATCTTTTTATGATTCTTGCCTTATTATTTAAAGCTGATATAAGACGCCTCTCTTTCTCCCCCCCTCCCATACCACAGCTTCAAAACAATTATTCACTACATTGATAACCAGTTTGAGCGATACCTGCATGATGAAAGTGGTCTGAACAGGCGCCACATCATAGACAACAGAGTCCACTGCTGCTTCTACTTCATCTCTCCTTTTGGGCATGGGTAAGAAAACTTTGAGCTTTGGTATTTTAAGGTGTTGTACCTTCATAACAGTTCATAAATCTGTTCATTACTTGAACTGGTAACTTAGCAGTAATGTTAATTGAGTTACCAACCTGTCCATTAGCCAGTGCAACTAAAACAGTCTTTGGAGATTAGTGCTCTCCTTTACTTTGTCCCCTTTTGCATTTAATATTCTCTCAAGGCAGTCACTACTGCATTGTTCATCACCCAGCAACATAAATGTTTTTAATATCCTCTTCATTGTATAGTGACAATTTTAATTACAATTTCAACTTTGCACAACCAAGTTGATAAGCAAGGGCATTAAGCTTAATGGCTTAATTTATTATGAAAATATTTTTTATGTGGACATTTGAAATAAATAGTTTTTAATACATTTGATCTGTTATAAAACAAACAACACAAGACCCCGTGCCTATTTTAAATCTTTTTTTTTTCCCTGCTTGTTGGCAGACTGAAGCCATTAGATGTAGAGTTCATGAAGGCTCTTCATGGAAAAGTCAACATTGTCCCTGTGATTGCCAAGGCTGACACCCTGACGCTGAAGGAGAGGGAGAGGCTGAAGAGAAGAGTAGGTCTAACACTTGATCATGAGAATAGAGCAACCCATACAATATTAAAGCCAAATATAAAGTAATTTCAAACTGAAGAGGGGTGAATGATATTGGCCAAGGACTTAATCTTCCGAAAGTGTGAAGTGGGAAATCTTCACTGAGGTCTGATGTGCTTTCCCAGTTACACTTGCTAAGAATGTGGCTGTTCTTGGTTCTATGTATCTTTGCAAAGCAGTGCACCCAGTAGGGCAGGTTTTAAGCAACACAGCTTGTAACAAGGCTTCAGACAGTCCTGAAAGAAGTGGAGATGTTTCAGACTGATTCTCTGAGAGCTGTGGCCTTGAGTGCCCCTTAGTGCTGGGAGTGCATTATGTGTGTTCTGAGGGCATATCTTTAGTTTCATCCAGAAGGGCTGTGTGCTCTGCTGTGTGGTTTGTAGCAAAATGCGGTTGGAAACTATTTAAATAAGTGCACCCATGGTACAAACTAAAACATTAATACAGAGACAGGACAGTTGGGTTAATATATGAGCAGGATGCTTTTGTGGCTCTGTTGTTATAGGAAAATGCATGTCATTGTGTGAACATTTTTTCTGCAGGTTTTTCTGTTCATCTGAAACACTAGGACATACTCAGGGTTGCAGTGGAGACCATCTGTCTTTCCGGACAGTGGTTCTAAAATCATTCTTTGTTTGCGAGGTTTATTTGGTGTCTTGAAATTTTGTTTATTGACAAACCTTTCCAAGACAGCCCAGCTTTTGCCAGATATGACATTGTAGTGAATTAAATAGAATTATGTCAATATTTGTGGTTGTATAAGTCTTTAACCTTAAATTGAATTTCCATTTTATCTCATCATCTGAGCAATGAATGTAAATATTAAATCTGTTCTGGTTTATTCTCTTTGAGAATGACTTAATGCACCTTGTAAAAGGAATGGGTAGGTGGTGTGTTTATATTCTGTATGCTTAGAGGTGGCCCAGTAAAATTTATTGAGATCACAAGCTTTTCAGGTTCAATTAACTCAAAACCAATACAATAATTTGTAAAGTCTACCTGGTTTGAACCCTACAAAGCCTATGAATTTTTACAAATTTAATGACTTAATAATGTAGAGATAATTTTGACTTCTAAATTGCAGTCTATATTTTACACCAGAGTAAACCTTTTTATGGTAGGATATCTTTTATATTACATTTTCATGCAGGGCATAATAATTGTTTTGATTGTCACCCTGTGACTTCCTTTAGGTCTTTAGAATGTTTATTGGATCTTTATTCCAAGGGTGTTTGTGTTGGGAGTATTCTTCTATTTTCTTTAGGAGGGACTACAGTTTTATTTAACTAGGAAAATAGTATAGATAAAATCATGCTTGCAAAGCAGCACATTAGCTGAACTTCACCTAAATTCAGAGAATTTGTTTGGAACTTTTTTGACTGAACCAGTGCCACAGTAGCAGATGCAGCCATGGTTTGTGTGGGTGTGTAAAGAACTACAATTTGACAAGGTGAGGTACTTCTGGCATTGCTGCTGTTTTTTATAAAGCTCAGTGATGTAAGAAAACTTGTCCAAGAAAAGGAATGAATCCTTCATAGCTGAGAAAATTAAAAGTGGGGACAGTTGTGACTGTATGAACCTTGTCTGCAATGCAGGCAAACATCCACTGAGGAGGGGAGGAGACACTTGTACAGAAATGAGCAGCTTGATGGTGAACCAGCTGAAAGGAGGAAGGAAATTTTAAAAAGTTCATTCATTGAGACTAGAAGGATCTTGCTGGGAGAAATTCTGTCCAGGAATTCTGAGTTTTTAATTTTGTATCGTAACAAATACTATAAAGTAATGGCTGGTGCACTGCATTAAAATTGAAAGAACTCATAGGAAAATGATAAAGCAAAAATGTGGCTGATTGTGCAGGTTTTATTGCTTTTCCTTTTCTGTTACTCTGCTGACTTTGTGAAAGATTTTTATCTCACACAGTTTGTGGAGCTGCTACTTTTTATAAAACCCCCTGTATCCACCCTTTCAGCAGTGTACTTCAGGCACAGTGTTCATAGTTGCTTATTTTTTGGTTCAACATTTGGGAGCAGAATGATTTTGAGAGATTTGAAGGAGGCATTTAAGTGGAACATCAACTATTTTAAAATAGAATTCACCAGGAATTTAACTTTTAACTAACTAATCTTTAAACCAGTCTGGACTTAGACATATGGACACCACATTTATGCACTGGCTAAGTACGAGAAGATGAAGGGCATCTGTAGTCTGAGGGAGTGGTTAGGGAGCAGGTAAACAAGTTTTCATTATTTTTATACTGCTGGCAAAGGTCACTCTGCAAACTGAGTTTATATTAAGTCAAATGTATAATGTGCTTCCAAAGCTTTGAAAATCAAAGCTACTGTATATTGTTCTAACTCAAAGCATCTTGGCCAACACAGTCTCTAATCAAGAATAGGAATCAAAGTCCTGCTTTGCTGACGCAGCTTGAAGTCTTACTTTTTTTAGATGTTTCTGCCATTTGGCCGTCAATCTGAAGTAAAATGTTTTTGTTTTGCCGCTATGGACTAAGCAGCAAGATTAGCTTGTGGTGCTTGCAAAGGAAACCCAGCTTGGAGTAATTCCTGTTTGGGCTTTCTGGAATTCAAAGTTATTTTTTAAAACTCTTGAGTGGGAAGAAATGCACGACAGTTTCACAAGCTGTGCCATGCGAAGCTGCTAAGGAAACATGCTCAAAAGAATGACTTCATGCGAGGGGAACTAATATTTTGACTTTTTTTTTTATTTCCCATGGGAAGGCTAATCTTTAGGAACACAGAATCCTCTGAGGCCAATAAAATTCAGATTTGAAGAAGCAAAATGCTGTTTCATTGTTAGGAGCATAAAATACAGTTTGTTTTTATTGCAATTCTTTTTCCTTTCAGGAAAGCACTAGGTTTAACAGCTGTAATATATTATTCTAGCACCCCTTGCTGTCGGCTTTCCCGTTATTGTTCCACTTGCATTTTATCTCAAAGATCTCAGCCAGGTTAAATGTGCTTTCTTGTCTTATGCAACTACTTAAAGGCATGGAACTGCAGTGCTGCCCCACCCATCCCAGCTGTGCATCTTTTATTGTCATTTGGTGACAGTTCAGATCTCTTTCACTTTGAAAAACAGCAACAGCATCCACTGATTTAAAGGTTACTATGTGAATGTCTCAATTGCTTATTGGCAACACCCCCAAATTTCTTTTCTCTCTATAAAATACTGCTCTCTGTGTAGGTGGGGGCTCGTAGCACTAATAGTGCGCTCGCGTGTGTGAGTGCGGGGGATGTTTATATACCTGGCAGGAAAACATTGTCAGGGAACAGCTGTGGCTCATACATGGGCTTTCCTTTGCTAATGGTCTGGAGAATTGTTTTCTTTTAAACACCTGTTTAGTAACCAAGTTCTGGTTGGACAATTTTCATTTATACTATAGCTGTTGGTTGCTGTCATGACAGAGGATGGAGGAACCCAGCAATACTCAGAGAGGGCTCATTAAGACCTCTCTCTTTGAGGAATGCTGTTTTGCTGCTACAAAGTTAATCTCCAGTTGTATTCACAGTAATGGCATCACAAGTCTTTACATAGGCTCTTCTGATTATTTTTACCACTATGTTAATGTTCTCCCTGAATTTGCCCAAACTTTGTCTACGCTGAGAGTTCATTCAGCAGGGCAGCTGTGTGGGTCAGTGCTCTTGGTGGGGTTACAGTTGCTGCTCTAGGAAGTTTGCACAGTTCCCCTTTTCTGCTGAAACGTCCAAGATCCCTTTGGAAAGAGTCATTGTGGAATCTCATCATTCTTCATGCTCTCTCTCCTTTTACCATCACACTTCCTTTACTGAAAGTAACTTCTGTCAGTGCATTTGATGCAGTGACAACAGCTGACTTAAGTATAATCAGTAGTGTGGCAGCAGAAACATTCCCTTTGGTTTTGAGAAAGGAATTGACTTGTGCCACCTTTTGAAACTGGCAGAGGCCTGGAGTTATGCTGGCTGTTCACCCCTGCAGTGATTTCATTAGGAAAAGAATGTGCCCAGGAACAGAGATACTGTATTTTTTATGTTAACCTCAGATATTAATGCCAAAGAAAACTGTTTAAGAACAGGGTCTTTTTCTTAGTGATTTTTTAATGACTTTCTCCAGTTTAAGTAGATAGTAAACTTTTATCTTTTTTGATTCAAGAGGCAGTAGGCATCTTCTACATTTTTGAACATATCAAATGCACAAAAACATATTTTGACATGGAGTGAATGATTTTAATTCTGTAACTAATGAATTCCTTCTTGTTACTTTTACTCTCTTTTTGTATTAACCTCACTTTGCTTCTGTATTCGCTTCGTAAATCTTCTTGCATTTTTCAATGATTTACTTGCTTTGTTTTCCAAAAATACATTTATCTTTTGTGCCTTTTGAAAAAATCTTCAAGCCTGTGTTATTTTGCAGTTTGGACACTGAGTCAGGTGAATATTTGTAATAGATTAGTTAATCAATTTCATATATTTTTAACTGAATGCCTGTTCAATGAAGTAAGAGTATTTTTCTTTCTTTTTTGCAAACTTTCAGGTTCTGGATGAAATTTCTGAGCATGGCATTAGGATTTATCAGCTCCCTGATGCAGATTCTGATGAAGATGAGGAGTTTAAAGAGCAAACTAGAGTTTTAAAGGCAAGTTTCACTCCTAGTTTATCATTTTGCTGCTGTAGTTCTTCAATCTACAACATGCCTAAAGGTATTTTATTCCTTCTATTTTATTTCCTTTCTAAAAGGAAAATTTCAGTTTCCTTTGCATGTTGACTCTGAATTATAATCCCTTTTATTCCAGTCTCTGCTTCATCAGAATTCCAAGTGTAGTGTGTCATGGCTTTCTCTTCTTTTTTCTTTTAAGTGTAAACCACTGTTCACAATGAACTATTATATGCAGTCTGTTCTCTGACTCAAACGTTTTAACATGTGAGCAAGGAAAGAAATGGTGTGCATTATGGTTGCTGTACTAATTAACAACCTGCCTCATGTTAAAGCAGATAATCAAGGTTTTACTGAAGTAATTTCCTCTTTGTGCTTGCAAAGGTGTTTGAAGAATGTGTCTGAAATTCTCTTTCTAGCTACTTCACTCTGCATCTGAAGTATGTTTCTGTTGGCTGTTCTCCATGCATGATGTTATGTCAGATGACACATTATGCCCAAACTGTACTTGAACAACAGTCAAGTGTTCCTAAAGTGAAGCGTCATTTCCTTCTGGGCCTCTGTTAAAACAAATTGATCCGAACAAAGCTACAGGTGCTCATAAGGAGAGGTTGCATAGCCTAGAATGGGATTTGTTGGTTTTCTGATGTGAGAGGGTTTTAGTAGAGAGTGTTTGTCGACATTTCTTTCCCCCCCGCTCTTGCCTGTTATTGAATCTTTGTGCTTTCTTTAAAAGAAAGACAAAAGCAAAATACAAAAACTAACCAGCCAAAAATCACAATAGAAACTTGTTTTTTCTGTCTCAACTAGGCTAGCATTCCCTTTGCTGTTATTGGATCCAATCAACTTATTGAGGTGAAGGGGAAAAAAATCAGAGGCCGCCTGTATCCCTGGGGAGTTGTTGAAGTTGAAAATCCAGAGCACAATGATTTCCTCAAGCTGCGCACAATGCTGGTGTGAGTAATGGTAAAATGATCCCATCTCCTGTGGTGATGTAACTGCCACAATGACTTAAAACCTATAGCAACATTAATTCCTTAATTTAAAACTAGCTCTGATGGCAATGCAGTTACATTTTAGTCCCCTGCAGCTTATTTTGCTGCTGTACCCTCTGATCTCTGAATTCAGACAGTATTTTCTATATTTTATGTTGCCAGATATATGTGATGGTTTTATGCTTTATGAGAACTGATCTGATGGCTGTACATACCCACTGAAGTTTTGTTGTAGTGCAGTTGATGGGGCAGAGAGGCTTTTAAGATACTCTTCAAAGTGAAGAATATTCCAAAAGCAAAGTGCAATTTTCTTGGCAGTATGGAAATCCTTTGTTAAATATGATACCCCACCCCGTTATGATTTTAGCCAATACGGATATTCTGCCTGCGTAAATGGTTTTAAGCGATTTTTTTAAGAAACGATGGTTTGCTATTGTTGGAAATTAATTCCGTTGTCATTCCAAATTCAGTCTGCACTGGGCAGGGATTGCCCTCTGCTGGGCATTGGGAGTAAGCAGATTTTCCTTTTTTTTCTTGGCAATTGCAAATCGTTAAGCAATGTCAGCTGTTGCGTGAACCAAGCAGCTCCACCTAGATCCCAGTTACAAATTATATTCAAAGCACTTTAGAGTAATAAAATACTTTTGGAATTCAAGTATCTTTCTGAACAACTGTCTTTGCAAGGTTCTTAATACTGCAAAAACTGTTATAAACAATTAATCTGAAATAATTAATGACCAAAAAAAGGACAGCATATTTTGGGTCTTTGAATGATATTGGTGGGACACTTAGGAATTAATTAAAGATCAGTGAACTTGAAAGCAGAGTTCTGGCTGGCTTGGTCTGTGAGGATTTACTTTTCTGGTAAATACATCCATTAGATAAAACAGAAACAGGAAATAAAAGGGTGTTCTTTTCTGAGAATGACAGTGTTCAATAGCCCTTTGCATGTTCTAGGACGCACATGCAGGACCTGCAGGAGGTGACCCAAGACTTGCACTATGAGAACTTCCGTTCTGAGAGGCTAAAACGCACTGGCAAGTAAGTGTGTGCTACCCCTGGGCCTGCTGCTCCTCACTGCCCACTGACAGAGGACTTCCTCTTCCTCCTAATCCCACCTGTAAACAATTATTTCTGATGAGATTTCAGTCTGTGGAATTCTGAAATTTGTATGAAATGTGCTTCTTGAAGAGGAATATCTATCAAACTGCTGTGCTTATAAACAGCTTAAATTCCCTCTTCTCTAGGCTTTTGATTGGAATGTGCAGGAAGAAGGTGCCTGCAAGCAAGATAGATTTTATCCAGTGATATCTGCTTGAGGAAAATGAACACTAGCAGGCAAATTTAATTAGGCTCCAGTTTATCTGCTTAGGGAAGTATTGTCTCTCTTGCTGCTTCATATGTTGCTAAATAGAGAAGTTTAGACCAATCAATCTCTTCTGATAATTTGTGTTTTTATAGAGTTTATTATCTCTTTTTTAATTCTTGGCAAGTCCTTGGCAACTTAATGCAAAAAATCCACATCTACCTTTGCTGCATCTTTTTGGATAGCAGATAGCTTCAAGTATTCAGCAAAGAATTTTGATGTTAAAGAAGAAAGGAAATAGCCTACTCACCTTTTTAGTGGTTGATTTTTGTACCATGGATAGATTGTGAAGGAAATGTCTTCATTAAAGTAAAAAATCCATATGGCAGTAAAGAAATCAAATTTTAAGAAATGGAGAGTGAGTAGCAGGAGTCTGTGAGGTAAAAATGGTCTTTTACAAAAGGGAAGCATGATTTTAAAAATGTCCTAATTTCCCCTGTCTGGAACAATGTAGACTTTGATGATGTTATATTAATTGGAATATGAGTCTTGAATCTGTTCTTTGAGATTTTTCCTTCTGTATTTTATGCTGTCAATGTACTCTTTTCTTCAATAGGCCTGTTGAAGAGGAAGTGGTAGACAAGGATAGAATCCTCCAGCAGAAAGAGGCTGAGGTAAGAGGAACTTTCTAAAACTTATTCTTTAATATAACATGCTATGTTCCAATTTCAGTCTTCTGCATCAGTTACTGCCTGTGGCAGGTAGGATGGAAGTTGTGGAAAATGACAGATCTAACCTGACCATACAAGTTGCTCTTACAGTATTTTATTTATAGTTGTAGTGTGTGCACTCTTGATTGTCTGCAGAATATTTATCGCTTCTTGTTTGGGTGCTAATTTTCCATAAGGATATTTGCAATTTTAAGTGCTGAAATCAATTTATGTTTGTCAGCTACACAGGTTGTGTGCTGTGGTGGGATAGACTGACAGTCTCATGTCATTTCAGATGTGCATGTTCTTATTGCAAGCACATTACCAGTACATTTATTCTTACATTTATGTCTTGTGGCTATGGAGTAGAAATAGGCTCTTGAGTCTTAAAAATCCTGTAATTTAATTAATACATGTGTTTTTTCATCTTAACCTTGACTTAAATCTTAGTATTTTTATTGCACCTGTTAGTTTATGATGTGGTGTTTTCAAACTCTGATTTCTCACTCTGGTCCCAAGTTATTGCTAGGCCTTTTAATTTAGTATTTTTATGTTGAAGTTGTAAAGATTCAGAAATTTTTAGCCTGGTATTTAAATTCTAGCAGTACACTGCCAGTGCTTATACTACTTGTGTGAAAACTGAAGACTTGCTGCCAATTGTAAGATAGTGGGTTTTTTTCCTCTTTATCCTTCTTTTATCCAATTCAGCTTGGATCCACGTCCATAACTGCAGGAAAGCATGTTTGGAAAGATCATTTCACATGTGCAGTGATTTGGAATTAAAAAAAACCAAACTAAAAGCACTTCTGTGTATTTCTGAGGTGGAAGATTGACTCCCATACATGGAAAATTTTGAAATTTACTTCAGTCTGTGCATTTCCTTTTTCCCTTATAGTATCCATATTTAAAAATAGCTAAACCAGGTTAGCTATTGGCTAGCCCTGGCATGTTGATATAAATAGCAAAAAACTTTCCTAAAAGGAAATGCAGAAGCAGCTGATTATCACCACAATTACTAGTTAATAATATGAATTACTGGAGATTGAGAGAACTATATATTTATCACTATGTAATTGCATTTCAGCAGAATAAGCACACTTGATGGCTGTGCACATACAAGAGTGGAACTTCTGCAAGTGTTCTATACACAAATTTGCTGCCTCCCATTTACTGGGGCATGTGCAAAGCAGCAGGAGCCCATCAGCTGATAGCCAGCAATACTGAATGCTTTGGAAAAGTCAAGAGCATTTTTTGAAAACGTTTTTTGTTTTTCCTTAATAATTCCAGGCAGACAAGTAGACTTAAATTATTTAAGTCATAACTGTTTCTCATGTTATTTGAACTATATAAATTGTACATGCCTAGTAGTTCAGTAGAATCTTGGATATCCTTGTAGAACTATTTGTTTTATGACTTATGTCTGAAAGAAGTTTTCTATAAATATTTTCCCTGGAACTTTTGATACAACAGGCA